CCATAATTTTTAGTGAAGCTTGTCACTTGTTGAGCTATTGTCTAGGTTAATGTTTACTTTTTGACGTTTTGAATGGAGTGCTGTAGTTATTTAAAACTATAATGTACAGACAGAACTGTTATTAAAACTAGAATGTCGTTCAAATTTGTCCGTTTGTCCAGCGTCAAGTTAAGTATGTTCAATATGTTAAATATCGTCAAACTTTGGAGTCAGTCATTGTGTCTGCCTCCCACTGGCACATCTGCCTGACTCGCACTTTTTTTCATGCCTCGCACTTTTTTTCATGCCTCGCACTTCTACCTCGCATGCTTCGCACTTTTTTTCATGCCTCGCATCGTGCCTCATATGCCTCGCTGCCTCGCACTATAGTAAAACTCGTCACCTGTTTGTTAGTTTCGTAACAGGAGAGTCCAGAAAAATGTCTAGCGTAAAGTGTAAACATGCATATACATGTTCCAACTTATGTACTTTTATTGTATTTACCTAGCTTTAATTCTATTAGTTTACATATGCAGAGAAAGCATTAAACAAAAATGAGAAATTATAAGACTTCAAAAGCTTACAGACTGCAGACATATACATTCAGTAACAACACGCGAATTGCTATAAATAGCAACGTTACAGTCTAGTATAATGATATGATGATTTGTTGTGCTTTTGTTGTAAGTAGGCCTATCACTAAAATATATTGAAAATCCTTCTAAACGATTCTTTATAAAGTATACAAAGCATATACATTGATATCAAAACACAAAATTCAAAGTTTTGAACAATTTGAGCTTCGTGACTCTGGTATAGACGCAGTGGCGGCGCCAGGGGGGGGCAAGGGGGGGCAAATGCCCCCCCAATATTATTTTTTGCCCCCCCATTTTGCCCCCCCTCAAAAAAAATTATTAGTCACTAAGAGCGACTAAAGGCTACACAAGCGTTCTGTCGTTATCGGAAAATGTATGGCTTATAAGTTGTCATTACTCATTAGTGAATGCGCGTATACATGAAACGGTTTTTTACAGTTTCAATATTAGTTTGTAAATCTCTGAATGGTAAAACTTGCCAATACTCCAATAATACGTTTCAAAAAAAGACAAAAAAGCTTTAGTTTTGAAGTGTTAAATTCTCAAACGTGTAAGGCAATAATAAGATGAAAGTATCACGAAATTATTTGAATAAACCACATCGCATATATGGGGGGCGAATGTCCTAAAGAGGAGCGATATTCCTAGGGTATTCGCCCCACCCCCCTGGGAGGCGATATTCCTAGGATATTCGCCCCCGGGGGCGATATTCCTAGGAATATCGCCACGTTTTGAGGGGGGGGGCGAATTTCCTGGGAGGGGCGACCTTTTTAAAAATTCTATCTTGCCCCCCCAAAATTTGAGTTTGCCCCTCAAATGCCCCCCCAAATTTGGAAGCCTGGCGCCGCCACTGTATAGACGTATGGGCCTAATGATTTAATTGTGTTACATTCCACTGGAGATCACCAAAATGAGCTTTTTTAAAAGTCTCGCGTGAGGCTCCAAGGCAATAACCCAAGCTAGTTTTTATATATAACATGTACTCATGCTATACCATTCCGTGGATGAAATATAAACAAATTCACGATTATCGCACATAGTAAATTTCCCCTTCAAATCCAGTGACAAAATGCAATTGTAAAATTTGACTAAAAATAGCCAATTTCAACAACGTCTGTCAGGCCAGTTAAAGCCTCCTGGGCCATTCTATATTGATAACAGTGTTCTTTAATGAATTATAGTCATTAAACCATCAAAACTATCTACGGGTAGTTTTGAATCGGTCGCGAAGTGATGAAAATGACCATGGCAAAGGCTTTGTCTGCGGCTAATTATAGCCTTCCGGAGACAAATTCTTGATTTCTGATATTTGTACGTTTATCGACCAAATATTGAAAATCTAACCCAAACACCATTTATAACTAGGTATTACCTAAATTTGAGCAAAATATGAAAAAAATCTATTTTTCATCTATTGCCACTGTTTGCTCGACTTTTACGGACAGTCGCTCTTAATGCCTATAGGCAGGAAATAGTAAAATATATAAGTTTCAAGAAGTTAGAATGAAAGCGCGAGATGAAAGTGAGATAAAAAAAGCTCAAATATCACTTGCGTAATTAACCGTTTTAACATGTTTTCGAACGCGTCCGAAAATAATTGCGAAAAAAATTTTAAAACTGACTACAATTCCAAAGTGGCAGCGTTTTTTGTTCATTTTATGAATGACTTCTTCCACACAGAAAGTATGAAGGAATTCTGTAATCTTACGAAATTCGAGTGGTCGGTTTTTACACTGACTGTCTCTTAATTTTTCTATTTCAAAATAATATAAACTGACAAAGTATAATCATATAATGTAAAAGAAACCTGTGTTATCGTGAAATCACACGATATTATAAAATTGAAATAAAATTTAATTTGACATAAAAAGGCAAATGTACAACTATAATTTATAAAAAGACAACATATTGGTATCGTTTTTGTTGCATATGGCATGCAACTTTCATATAGCTCTAAATTTCGTGCCGTGTTCCGTGAGGGCAATTGCTAGATAGTATACTTCAAAATAAGGTTTCCGTTTTTATATCAATTTTTGTATCTGCGAAGCAGATATATTGCTATCGCAAACGTAATGTTAATGTTACCGTATCCCTAGCCATTCAGCGACGAGCTTATATAATTGAGCCAATTTAAGCCAATCAGCGATTAGTTTGCATCGATTGTTTACATCGTGCCCGCATTAATGAGCTGCCTATAAATAAACCCAATTTATCCTTTTCAAAATGGCGGCCTTTCGTGAGTGGGCAAAATGTTTCAAACAATTTCGTTAAAATTTTCAACGAATTGTACCGGTTTTCTATGGATTTTGCATTGCGTCTAACTCTGGGCATTTTTGCTAGTTTAGTTAATGCATTTTTCTTGGTACACGACTCTGAAAATCGGAAATTTGGATCTTTGAATTCCCGTGCACGATCATATTAAATATACTGAATCTGATTATAAACGAGCCAAAGACAATTGCAAGGTAAAAGGTTATAACCTAAACTACACAACGTAGTTTTAACAGATAACCACTTTATGAGAAGCATATTATTATTGGTGTCATATCAATATAAAATTTATGCAGCAACAGTCCCTAATAGTTTATAGCTGTGGAACGTGAAAACTGTAGTGTGAAATATGATATTGTAATGTCTAATGACAGTGAT